GGTGTCCAGCCCACCTGGCCAAGTGGGTCATCATATGTGTAGTTACAGCGACATGGACGTGGGGTAACAAACTGCTGTCGTATTGTGGCCCCAGGACACCGCCGCCAGGAGCCCATTAGCAGCTCAAAATCGAAACTCCGTTTGGACAGCTCCACACATTTGATTTGTGCGGAACGTCCAAATATTTTTAACGGATATGCGATGATCAAACAGATCACGCAAGGTATTCAGCTAGAAGGCCGCAACAGAAGCTGAGGATGTGCACAAAGTGACGTCGGGCTGTCAGGATCCAAGTCCGTGTTGCGCGGTTTTTGCGTTTTATCCTTGAGTGTTGGTCTTGCTTCACTGCTGGGGAAACTCATCTCGGGCCATGAGACCAGGCTTTTCCCAGGTTTTCGAAAGTCACCACCTGGATGTTTAAGCCAGAAATTGAGTGGAAATACGGAAACTACTACAGCCGGCGCGTTTGGTTCCCCGTTTTGGTTACAGTTCCCCGTTTAGCATCGCCTATGTGGGCTCGTTAAACGTACCGGTTACTCAACGACCAAATGCAGCTAATGCTTGGACAGCTTTCCCTTGGCCTCGAAAGCTTATCGCCTAAAAAGCGTCCTCCAGCGCAACAGACTTCGAAGGCCGACCTACGACAGTACCTCGCCGTCCGCTCACTTCGAAGGCGACCTCCGATTCGTTTTGTTTGTGTCCCTGCACCCTTTGCCCCGCGCCGCTTTCGCCACCGGTGTCAGACGGTCGCCCGGGCCAGCTGGCAGTCGGGTCCCGTCCTCTGCCCGCCGCTATCGGTCCGTCCCGCCGGCGTCCGCCCCCCCCCCCCCCCTCTGCGGCCCTCTCAGCTGTGACCTGTGTACGTACGAGCCCGCCCGCGGTCGGCGGGCGGCAGCGGCGGCCGGTCGGGCGCGCGGCGGGGCGTCGCCCCGCTCGGCCGCCGGGGAGGGGCCACTTCCCATCCGGGCGTCGAGATCACCGGAAGTGAGCGGACGTGGCGTGGCGTGGCGGGGCGCGGCGCGACCGGGCCGTTACGGGACACGCCGCCGACCCGGGCGCAGCGCACGCGCTCCGCCAGCCGGGCTTCCGGAGCTGCCGCCGCCGCCGGCCGGACGACCGGACGGACGGCGCCGGCCGGCGGGGGCGGGCAGGCCACACGCGCCGGCGGGCCCAGCGAGGAGCGGCAGGGCGGCTTGACACGTTGGAGCGCCAACCCGACCTTTGGGAGAAATGACAGCTCTGCGTAGGGGTACGGAACAATGCGCGTGGCAGGCATGGGGTTGCGTGCTGCGGTTTGGATCAGACTGCGCACCTGAACTGAGTGCTCGTGTTTCTTTCATCCCTGCGCGGTGGCGTCAGCCGGGCCTTGTCGAAGCGGTCGGCACTGTCGTGACGCGAACTGCGGGAAGCTGACTTCCTGAGACGGTGTGGGGCACCGTAGGGTACTCCCCGTTGACCACCATGGGACGTTTCGCTGCTTCTCCTGGTTTTCACCGTCGAGTGACCCGCTCTGATTGTGATTCACTGTCGAGTGAGTCGCCGTGATTGTGATTCACTGTCGAGTGAGTCGCCGTGATTGTGGTTCACTGTCGAGTGGCCCGCCGTGATTGTGATTCACTGTCGAGTGAGTCGCCGTGATTAGTGCGCCCCGTGAACACCGTTGCACGGACCCTGACCTACTGCTGCCTATACGCATGCACATACATCTTGTGACTCGGCGAAGATGACAGCATCCTGGGCGTTGGTTGCCAAGGTCTGGATATCTTTCTACCACCGTCCGGAAAAGATGTGCAGGATTGCACATATACTGTTATCGCGTAACGTTTCGTTAAATCCATCAACAACATCAGACATGCAGAACAGGTGCAATAACGGAATAAAATGCATTCGGAGGCGTCTCGGATCGGTAGCAAGTACACGCTTGTTTTCCGGTGACCTCAAGTAGGTTTCATTGAAATTGGCTTAAATGTGTGCAAGATAAGGCACTTCAAGTGCGGAAATGCCTCTTAAAGAAACGAGCAAAATTTCTCATCTTCAATATAGCTATGGCAACGATTAAGGTTGCTTGATTTCGGTTACTTGTCTACAAAAGCCCAGTTGTATATCTGGTCTGATCATGATGAGCTACTTAGCACGGGATACATCCACCCTCAAGGCTGCCAATATCAGGTGTAAGTTCTGATGCCCTCTCGGCACATGTGTGCGCCGCAGTAACTCGCCCTATGTTGGCGAGTTGTTGCCACACAACATAACATTGTCTCGCCGCATCACAGTACACCTGCAAAATGGTGCTCCAGAAAGACTCAGCAGTAACGCATAGCTCACGGACCACCCGGGACATCATGGTCGATGACACCACCATCACAGCCATGTGCACTGACAGAAAGAAGCTTATGACTGGAAGCCGCGTGAAGCAGACACAGTGATTCCAGCAGTAACCGGCAAGTGGGCGTCAGATTTACCTGGTCTATATGTGAGGGGAGGCTCTTGCACGCAGACAGTGGAGCGTGAATGCGAAGACGTCGCTCCTGAAATGTGTGGGTGGCTTGGACATCTAGCCCGTATGCGTATCATTGCACGAGTAAATACTTTTACACACTGTGTACGTCGATCGTTCAGCTACACTGAATATATGAAACGATGCTTCGTTTCCTTACAGGCCCATTTGGTATCTACACCGACTGATCTTTGCACACATTTTAGACATCCCAATGAAACACGTTTTACGTGGCTGGAAAATAGAAATGAGTTCGCCGCTGATCCGAGATACTGTCGAATGTATTATATTGCTATTGTACGTCTTTTGTATGTGTGATGGCGCTAATGGTTTTAATGAAAGACGACGTGCTTACGGCATGGACACAGCCCTACACAAGTCTTTGAATGGTGGTAAAAGGCTTATCCAGAGCCTAGAAGTAGAAGGGCTCGGTAAGAAGCTAACAAATGCCCAGTATGGCGTCATCTGTAACGTTACATGCTTTAGGTCAACTTCGCTGCCGGCAATCACGAATAAAGAATAGCGGGATTAAAGTGGAATAAGTGGAATGACAACATATGCATATACATATATATATATATATATATATATATATATATATATATATATATGTAGATTTTGTTGGCTTGCTCTATTTAACAACAACACATATGTGTCATGTTAGATGCTAGACGCAAAATCTCGTGATGTGCAAGTTCTACTTTTTATTGATGTTTGGTTGGGCTGCAGAAAAGTTGTCATTTTTCACTCGGTCAGGAATAAGTGAGAAACACATTCTGTGTTTTTGTAAGATCATTTGCTGTCTGGCACACCCGCTCGGAGTTCATTTTGTTGCAAGATTGGGCAGATGCCTACCCCCCCTCCCCCTCCCCAGCGACGAAGGAGATGCTGGGAAATAGCTGGTGACAGCTCGAGCGATGATTTTGCTTTTGCTGGGCTGTCCGGGAGCGTGCGCTGAAGCAGACGGCACGAAATGAAGCTTTCGTATTTGGCTTGCATTTGAATGAGCACGGAACACTTCTGTGCTAGCTTTTAAGTTAAGCCCCTTTTTCTTGCGATTTCTACCGGGCACCCTAAATTGTACGCATCAAAAAGGTTAGGGGACCCTGTGTTCCCCTGCGCCTGGGTACTCTGCGCCTGGGTACCATGTATCTGCAGTATGTGTGGGGCTGTGCGCGCTGCCGTTCGCCACCGCCCACACCCGCACAGTCAGCCGCCCCCGCGGCGGGCTGAACTCCGCGGCCCTGCGGCGGGCCGGGGCGGCATTCCTGACCGTTGCGGTCCATATTCATCCGAGCTGGCGGCGGCTGGACACGTCAGCGGCGCGACCGGACGCCACGCGGGCAGGCCCGAAGGCCGTAGTCAGCTGACATCCGAGCCGGGCCCTGACAGGCTCCGCTCTGTCGCGGCTCCCGGCGAGCTGCGCCGAAGGGCCGTGCTGCGGCGGAGCTTCGCCAAAGGGCCGTACTGCGGCGGAGCTTCGCCGCAGGGTACTGGCTGTGCTGCGCGATGTGGAGAGTGTCAGTAGTGTCGGGCGGGTTTGAGATCTTCTGCCCTGTCGGCAGGGACGCACGCGAGAGAGGGTCGCACAGGTCCGTGCGCTGCCTCTACAAGGGTAGGGTCCGCGGTCATTTGGGGGAGATCACAATGCAAGGGTTGCCCGAAGGCGGCTTGGTTTTATATTGCTCACAACTAGGGGCGCAATTAAGGGGGCTGCCGGGACCGGGAGCCTAACATAGGCCTTGTGGTCACTGTATCGGGACATAAGCACGCCAACGTAACTGGGAACGCCTCAAAACAATGCCGGCTGCACCCGCTCACTGCAGCGCACCGTAACGACAGAAGGATTGCACATGGGAGCCCATGAAACAAGACGCGTGTTACGGTATTCACTTGATATCTGCATGACCTGAAAAGTGTATACTGGATTGCACAAGTCCGAGAAAGAGGTTACGGTAATCTGCAGCTGCTGCTCGCTATGGCAGGCCCTATGAAGCCATCAGTCGGACTCCCCATGAAAGACCATGTGCCCCCCCCCCCCTCAGAAGCTGGCTTCCTCCCTACGGAAATCCTGTGGGTGTGCCCGCGTTCGGTGGCGAATATTTAGTGTCATGGCGGCAGTACATATTCGTGCGTTACACTTTTGGGTGACGAAAGGCTCGGGCTCCTCTTTTAAGCAGGGCGCAAGGCCCAAATGTGTTGTCAGCACGCGAAAATGTTCTTTTTTGTAAGTCCTTCCTTGATTTGGATATTGTATTGCTCATTTAACGTGACGCGGCATGTTTGGTTGTAAGGAGAAATACGAACGCCGCTGGTGCCGGCGAAACATTTGCCGTGTCCCAACGAGATTTGCTGCTGTGCTTGAACATGGCTGGTGCGACCCAAAGTCACTCGAATCAAAGCGTTTGCTATTTATCGGTGTTGACTGTACAGGACATAGCCCTTGCGTCAGCCTTTTGTGTGCGCTTTATCACAATGTGTATTGGCGTCAATCGGCGTAATGGGTTTGTTTGCGTTTCAAGCTGGGTTGAAAAGCCGATCGCTTCGGGCTCGAGACCCATTACGTGTCACTGTTTGCCACAGCCAGCAGCTGACAAATGGACAGATATAGATTTTCAACATGACACAATAGGGTCGCGCCTTTGACATCGCCGTAGGCAACATTATCGATTGAAGTTAAGCTCCTTTATTTGGATAGTGGGTCGATTGTAAACTCAGCAGTTTTTCCTTGGCATGATGCCTGAGCCCCAAACTTCCGTGCACTTTGTTTGCAGCACCTTCAATGACGGCAATGCAATTGTGATTGCGTTCTTTCCAATGGGCGGTTGACTTATCATTGCTTGTTTCAGTTTATTGGTCTTCGCTTTGCACCTCTGCTTTAGCTTTCTGAGGGTATACGCCGTACACACGGCATGCGTTACAGTCCAGTTATGTGCTCACGATGACTTCTCATTGCACCCCATGGCATAGTATTGCTGATCATGACGCGCAATCGGTGTTCTGTCCACTGTGAACTCAATCGAGCCACGACTCGCCCGCCTAAAGATGTTGCGAGCACCGCATTCTCATCATCTTGGACGGAGGCTCAAGTACGTACGCTGTCACAACACGGTTGTCTGGGCCCTTCTTTCCGAGGATGCTAACCCGTGAGACGCCCTTGTGAGTCACCACCTCCCTCCGGCGTCGCCTCAGAGCTCTCTCCGATCCGCCCACAGGAGCCGCGCCGCCTCACCATGGGGGCGTAAGAAGCCGTCAGCGACGGCGGCGGCGGCGGCGCCGCGCGCGGCCGCCGTGCGCAAGTCACCCGCTGGCGAGCCGCCCTGAAACGGTCGCCGGTCAACAAGCTGCTGGCGGCGCGGCAGGGCCGCCAGGCGCCCGCCGCGGCCGCAAGGGCGCCGCCGCGCCGCCGCCGGCCTCGCCGCCTGTCGACCGAGGAGCGCTGACCGCTTTAGAGACGGCCAGCCTGCTACTCTCGATGAAGAGAAGGCGAAGCGCGTCGCTGTGGCCGCCCGAGTCGGCGAACAGGCGGCGCCGGCCGGCTAGGTGGCCCACCTCTCATCGGCCGACTACCAGCCGGGCCTGAGCGAGCTGGTGCCGCAGCGGCGCGCCGCCTCGCCGACGCGCGGCCCGGCCGGCGAGGACCTGCTCGACCTCGACCAGCATGCGTTCGGCTCGCCGGCCGGCCGGCCGTCGGACGGCGCCGCCACCGACCTCACCGTGGCCGAGCTGCTGCACCCCGGCGGGCGCGGCCCGGCCGCCGGCAAGGCGGCCCGCCAAGCGGCACGAGTGCCCCATGTGCGAGAAAGGTGATGGGCTCGCGCAGCGACCTGGTCAAGCACGTGCGCATCCACACGGGCGAGAAGCCCTACCAGTGCTGCTACTGCCCGGCGCGTTTCACGCAGCTGGGCAGCCTGCGCGCGCAACGAGACCCGCCACACGGGCATCAAGCCGTTCAAGTGCGACATCTGCTCGCGCGCCTTCAGCATCAAGGAGCGGCTGAAGGTGCACAACCGCATCCACACGGGCGAGAAGCCGTTCCACTGCGACCTCTGTGAGAAAGCGTTCGCGCGCGGGCAGCCAGCTGATACAGCACAAGCGCACGCACACGGGGCGACAAGCCCTACACCTGCTCCTACTACTGCGGCATGAAGTTCGCCTTCGCCACCACCTCAAGCTGCACGAGAAGATAGCACTCGGGCATCAAGGACTTCGAGTGTCCGCGCTGCTACAAGGGCTTCGTGCGCCAGGACGCGCTCAAGAAGCACATCCAGTCGTACCACGAGAACGAGCGGCCGATGCGCTGTCCGATCTGCGACAAAAGCTTCAAGGGCCACCGGGGCACGCACCTGCGCGTGCACACGCAGGAGAAGCCGTACGTTGTGTGCCGTGTGCGACTCGGCCTTCGCCCATGAAACTCGCAGCTGACGGTGCACATGCGCGTGCACACGGGCGTCAAGCCATACGTCTGTCAGGTGAGGGGTGCCCGCCGGCGCCCGCAGCCGGGGGCCGTGTTATCGGCGGCGGAGGGCCGGGGATTATGGGAAAGGGAGCCGGAGATTAGGTGTCGCTAATCCTCGGGTGGTTGCTGTGTGCTGCCCATGCGTTCTGCTTTGCTGTACTTTGACTGGTAATAGAGACTTAAACCATGTATTCGGGATACGCTAGCTAATAGCACGGCACGCTGAGATGGAGGCGTGCCTGCTTCTCCCAAGGCTATCAGCAGCGGCGATAGGCGGGCAGGGACGGTGGACGGGCCGTCCGCCCGCCGGCATGTCCGGCACGTCTGCGGTTGCCGTCCTGCCGGTGGCCTGCGTGACCTTGGCTGACCTAGCGCTGCCGGTGTGGCGCAGGTTGTGTCCGCAGAAGTTTCGCGCCCACTTCCACCGCCCTGAAGGTGCACACCTGCGCCAACACACGTGGCGAGAAGCCCTACCGGTGTCCCGCTCTGCAACACACTTCTTCAACCAGCTGCCGCATCTCAAGAAGCACCTGCGCAGCATCCACAAGCGCGAGAGCCGTACATGTGCGGCGCCTGCAGGGAGTTCTTCAAGGTAAGAGGGGCTGACGGAGACACTGCTTCAGGAATGCCAAGCGCGTCGCCACGCAGCCTTTTATGGAGCGCTAGCGACTACAGTGGCCACATTGGCGCTCAGGGCCGTGACGCAAACCCCCGGCTCCTGCGGCTGTCGGTCGGAGCGCCAGGGACTACAGTAGCCATAGTGGCGCTCAGGGCCGTGACGCAACCTCCCGGCTCCTGCGACTGTCTGTCAGAGCGCCTGGGACTACAGTAGCCATAGTGGCGCTCAGGGCCGTGACGCAACCTCCCGGCTCCTGTGACTGTCGGTCGGAGCGCCTGGGACTACAGTAGCCATAGTGGCGCTCAGGGCCGCGACGCAACCTCCCGGCTCCTGCGGCTGTCGGTCTGCAGGGGCCTCCCGACGGTCGTTGATGGGAGGTATACTGTTGTGGATGCGGGGTTTCGACATTCATTTACTACGTCCCGTCAAGCCATTTGCTAAAGGGGTTGGGAGAGGCTTTCCATCACGGATACTAGGAAGCATCCATTGCGTAAAGGGGATTTCGCGAAAGCGTATGTCCCGCGTTCTGACCTGGTATAGAGACGACCCCTACCACTTTGCCCATGCCAGGCCCATTTCCCGCGTGCAATGCTCAGTGAGCGTGTCTCGGATTGCTGCTGGCAATAGTTTGCTTCGCACTACACAATGCGTTCCCTGAAACGTCGTCGATGTTTTTGACTGGCTAAGACTGAGTGCTCTTGGTCCTACTCTGGCGCCACCTACTTTTTCGACGTGGGAGGACGTTTGCAGACATAAGAGTGAGTGCACTTTGGCTGGTTTTAATGCTGTAAAAACACACACTGCTGTTGTGTACCCTGTGACCACGACTCGCGTCGTCCACCCTTGCTCGTGTGATCGCACCTTTGACATGTGTTCCTAATATCATCATCACACCTGTTACACTGTGACACGTGCCCCGCGCCCTCATCACGTCACGCGACCTTACGACCGGTGCGCCGCGGCCGCAGACCAAGGCGGAGCGAGAGCGGCACGTGGAGACGGACCACCCGGAGTACCAGGCGAGCGGCGGGGCGGCGGCCCGAGTTCGGCAAGGTGGACAGCTACCGCACCGAGATCCTGGAGCCGGAGACGCTCCCCGAGATCATCACGGGGGCGGCATGGCCGTGTCCAAGCTGCGCGGCTACCTGGCCATCCTGATGAAGAAGATCAGCACCAGCGCCCGTTTGCTCAAGTTCGGCTTTGGCCGGCGGCTCATCGACGACGTAAGGCCGGTGGAGGCGAGTAGGGCTGGCGGGAGGCAAGGAGGGCTGGTGGGACTCAGGAAGGGCTGGCGGAGAGGGCTGGTGGGAGTCGGGGAGGAGAGGGCTGGCAGAGGTGGGGTGGGGGAGGGGGTAGGCTGGCGGGAGGCAGGGATGGGAGGCCGGCGGAGGTGGAAAGGGCTGTATGGAACTCAGTCAGGGTGATGCTGGCAGCTGAATGAATGGGGCTGCGACGTTGCTTTGGCCAGACTGGCGCTAGCCGAGCCGGACTGTGACGCTGCGCACGGCGTTGCAGGTGCTCAAGGACTCGCTGGAGACAGGCGGCAAGACGCCGTTCCGCGAGGGCGCCAACGAGGTGGAGATCCTGCGCGCCAACGTGCAGCTGCTGCTCGACTGGACCATCCCGCGAGACTACATGGAGCAGTACCGCAAGGAGCGCAAGACCGTCGAGGAGATTCTGGAGGAGCTGGCTTCGTAGGCTAACGACAGGGCTCCGCTGCTGCCGCTGCCGCTGCCGCGGAACCTCGCCGCTGTCGCCGCTGCACGTCTTGAGGGACGGTACGGCTGAGTGCTGTGTATGGGGGGGGGGGGGAGGGGTTTGCATTGCTGGCGGCGGAGGGGGGAGGGACTGGGCGAGGCCAGGCGACTGACGTCCGAGCAGAGTTCCACTGGTGGCACCTCCGCCGCTCGTGGTGACAGGGCCGCGCCGAGGGTGTGAGGCGAAGTCGGCCGAGCTGGGCCGGGGACGCAGAGGTCGCTGCCGCCGCCGTCGGCCAGGCTCGGGAGAACGGGTCCGGCGCGCGAGGGCGCCACCGGGGGGGGGGGGGGGGAGCAGGGGCGACCTCGAAAGCCGAGGCGGCGTGTCTGTTCTGTACATCGCTATCCTGTACCCGAGCTTGTGGCGTGGACTGCTGAGGCAGTGCGTCGAACGGCCCGCCCGTAGTCTTGGGGCTCGATGGTCCCCGACCGTTGGGATCTGGGAGGACATCGAGTCCCCGACGGCAGATCGGGGTTCGAGGGGCGAGTCCCGACGTTGGGGATCTGGGAGGCATCGAGTCCCCCGAACGCAGATCTGGGGCTCGAGGGTCCCCGACCGTTGGGATCTGGGAGGCATCGAGTCCCCCGAACGCAGATCTGGGGCTCGAGGGTCCC